GCCTGATCACCTCACCTCACACAGACAAACACACAACCCTAACTAGGTCAAGGAAAGGCAGATCTGTGGCTTCCCAGCACTGCAGTCAGTTGACTATGTCGACCTAGCACACAACTTCAGGTTTGAATAGTCATTCCCTAGATGGAGAAGCCGCCTATTGCAAGATGTGTCTTAGGAAGGCTAGTCAATTGCTTGCTCTCTCTACCCAGACTGACTTCTTGTCACAGCAAGTCTGGTCTTTTCTTCACCCTATCATGGCTCTGATATGATACAACATGAGAGATTACGTCCAACTGCCCCTCAGGTTCTCCACGTGGACTAGTGTACCACATCCCACCACTACCAAGTTCTTGATGTCAAAAAGAGCCTACCAAGCAGATAAAGACAGAACAGGGCCGGAGAGAATGAAGAAACCTACCACATCCCACCACTACCAAGTTCTTGATGTCAGAAAGAGCCTACCAAGCAGATAAAGACAGAACAGGGCCGGAGAGGATGAAGAAACCAACCACATGTAAGACTCGATGGCGTTAAAGATGTGTGGAAGGAGGAATGAAGCAGTTCTATGTGACCATCCCAGCAACATGAAATCGATACTCAAGATCAGGCCATATCTGCCAAGTGTGCAGAAACTAGCAATTTGATTATTCACAGGGATAAGACAACCACTGAAATTGAATCATTGTTGTGTTCGCGACGCCGACCCTGATCTAACGGTGGACAACTGAGTCGATCGCACAGTGTGAGTGCCCAGACTGGGGTGCACAAAGCGGAACACATGTTTCAGATGAGCAGTGCGGCGGACACAACCGACATAACTAGTGCCTGTGGGATCAGGATGACGTCGGATTAACTGATCCCCTGCACAAAGACCCGCCCTTGTTGTCAATTCCTTTCAAGCTGAAGTACCTCACCATTTCCATTCTTTAAGCTTCATAGATTCTTGTTACCTGAGGATCTGGAGCTGGCTTACTTGTTTGATCAGTGTTCCACTTGCTCGCTTGATTACTTGCCTCTACTTCTGTCACCTTCAGAATGAAAAGGTTAAGCGCATGCTTGCTTGCTTGGCCGGTTGGTGGTTTGTTTAGCTGGCCTAGTCAGTCTTCTAAGCAGAGCTGAGTTAGCATAGCCAATTGGGTCTCGTTCCACATGCCATTCCAGGGTCCCAGCCACTCATCAGTAGCCACATTCACATGCCTGACAAATGACAAGTGACACTGCAGGAGGAAGAGATCTGCCCTAGCACATGGCTTACCATCTCCAGAAGGCTTGTTTGGTCTGGCGTGTGGACCAATCCAGTCAGGCAGCTCTGCTAAGCCCGAGCTGCTGGCCACAATCATGAACTGAATGAGCCACTGATTTGACAGAAGAGAAGTCCTCTCCCAAGCCTATGATCAGAAACCACCCTTCTGGGCTCCCAGTCGACATACTCTGGATCTCATAATCCTTCGGAGTGAGCGGGGAACTTCCTTCTGCTTCTGATGAGGAAGACAAGAAGTACCACAACGGCACAGCATGCCCGCACTGATGTGTCATTGCATCACCTTTTCAATTCCTCAGTTCTTCATTTTACATATAATCAATTTGTGTTTGGTGATTTCACTGTGCTCAGTTCACTTCTGGACAGGAGCGCAGTGAGTACGAAAAACACAAATTGCTTCATACAAGTACAGTGATACAGCACCCAGCCAATGTGGCTGCATCGTACACAGATATAGAATGTTGATGAACAAATTGTGGGGTTTTTTTTTTGTTTTTTTTTTAAATTGTGGGTTTGAATCCTGGTGGATCCAGATGAATACAATATATAATGTTAGTCCTTCGGGACATCCGTTAAAATTGGAACGATACAGAGAAAATTAGCATGGCCCCTGCGCAAGGATGACACGCATAAATCGAGAAATGGTCCAAATTTATTATTAAAAAAATATATATATATTGTCACATTGTGAATCAGAGCGCAAAAAAGGGAAAAGAAAAAAGGAAAAGGAAAAAAGGGAAAGGGA